AACGCGTTGAGGGGGACCTGCAGTGGCGCCAGGAGGCCACCCTCATCGCCCACATAGCCCATGCCATCCATTATGGCATGGCCTTACCCCATGCCTCCGCCATCCCTCCCCTAGCACTGCAATGCCCCCTCCTGCAATGCCCTCTCCTGCTGCTCCTGCAATAGCCCCTCCTGTCACTCCTGCAATGCCCCCTCCTGCCCACCTCTCCGTGCAGCCTGCCCCGATGAGGCTTGCCTCCCATGTGCAGGTCCACCCCCACAGAAGCGGTCGCAGGGGCCACCCCTCCCAGGAGTAGCTCCTCCCCCTCCCAGTTCAAGGTTTCCTCCCCCTCTCTCCCTTGTAAATAAAAAAATACAAGTTTTTTCTGTTCAAAACAAAACTGTGTTTGGTGTTTATTGGCAGGGGAGGGGGAAGGGTAGTGGATGGGGAGGAGGTGAAAAGGGAGACCGAGGCAACTCTACTATGGGGCCTGGGCGAACATGTCCGTCAAGGCCTCCCGGATGCGCACCCCATCTTGGTTTGTGGCGCATAAATAAATACTGACACTTTTAAGTAAAATTTAAACCACAACTATATTAACATAAATAACAAACAAGCAAGGAAGGTTAAAAGACACACACAAAAGAATATGTACATAGTATAGACACAGGGACGATTGTAGTGTTGCTGGCAACCTCAATCCTTTGGTCCTTCTGGGCTTCGGGAGAGGAACAGCCAGGAGATCCCTCAATGGAAGACGACGGCGAAGCTGGCGACCTCAATCCTTTTTGGATTACAAAATGCGGACACCAAATACCGTATCTATCACCGGTCGTTTCTTTAATTGGTCGTTGGTTTGTGGCGCATAAATAAATACTGACACTTTTAAGTAAAATTTAAACCACAACTATATTAACATAAATAACAAACAAGCAAGGAAGGTTAAAAGACACACACAAAAGAATATGTACATAGTATAGACACAGGGACGATTGTAGTGTTGCTGGCAACCTCAATCCTTTGGTCCTTCCGGGCTTCGGGAGAGGAACAGCCAGGAGATCCCTCAATGGAAGACGACGGCGAAGCTGGCGACCTCAATCCTTTTTGTCCTTCCGGGCCTCGGAAGAGAACCAGCCAGGAGAGCCCTCAAAGATGACTGGAATCGGGTACGCTGACTCGAGCCTTCCGCACGAACCACGAATCCTCTTTCTGTTCTTCGGGACAGCTCGGACTGGCGATGGTGGCCTTAACCCTAGCCTAAACTAAAAGAAAAACCCTAGCTACGTCTGAACATGCACGATGACGGCCGATATGCTTGGAACCGACGCTGCCTGACGAAGAGTCATGACGACGATAGCTAATTTAACTAAACCTAACTCTGGACCCAATTTAAATTGGTAGGTGCAAGCCTTCTGCTTGACCTGACCTGACAGACAAGACTACCAAGGGAGTCTTAGTACCAAACAAACAAGTATAACCAAGGTTGGTTTCTTCTATGCAGTACATTTACAATTGGGGGGAGGTAAGAGGAGGGGAGGGGAA